TTTTTTGGTGGAACTGGGGATTGAACTCAGACCCTTGCGCTTGCCAGGGAAGCGCTTATTCTACTGAGCTATCTCCCCCGGCCCTTACTGGTCGAATGAATGAATCAATAGCACCTATCTTGTACCTTCTCCCAGATCTGTGGGAATCCAGAACAGGCCCTATATTACTAGGTTTAGAGGGGGACCACTGGACAGGGATGTACTACCCTTCCCCCAGGAGGCCCCTACCTGATTTGGCCAATTTGTACACAGCCTCACTGGCCTGCTCCACAGCGTTGGGCACATAGGGGACCAGCGACCCCTGGGGCAGACGAGCAGTCAGGTAAGCCAGGCATTCCTCCAAGGGCCCCTCTTCCTCAGAGTCCAGAGTCAGCTTCACCTGATAATAGTTGCTGCCCCAGTCAGGGTAGGAACCCAGGCCAAGCTTTCCCTGAAAGTGGGCCTGTGCCTCGGCTAGGATGGGAGCGATAGAGGCCTCATCAGCAGCCACGTACAGCTCTCTCGAGTGGAACTGAACAGCTGTGTTCTGGAACAGGCCCTTCAGCCCCTCCAGCACCCGACGCAGCAGCTCTGGAATGCCTGGGAAGAGGTAGACGTTTCGGACGGAGACCAGTGGGAATCTGAAGGGGCGGCCGGTGTGAGGATCAGTACCATAATGTAGGCGGGCGGAGGAGGGCACCAGCGACAGCTTCTCCCTGCCCTCCCCTCCTAGGGCTCTGATGGCCGCTTCCAGCTCAGGGTGTGTCTTGAGCTCCTCCCCAAAGGCCTGTGCCACTGCCTCAAAGGTGACATCATCGTGAGTGGGGCCAATGCCCCCTGCAGTGAGGACATGGGTGAACTGGCTGGAGAAAGAGGTCACCTCGGCTGCAATGGTGTTTACCTCATCGGGTACAACAGAGACTCGGCAAACCTGGACCCCCAGGGACCGCAGTGTCCGGCACAGGAAGTATGTGTTGGTGTCCTGAGTGTGTCCCTAGGAGTTGGGGGAAGGACAAGACTGTCAGTGCTGTGCTGACAAAGGGCAGAGGGGAGACAGTTGCTTCTGTCTAAAAGGTGGGGTGCTCTGCTTTTTGGGGGATACAACTTGAGGTTGTCAAGGATACTTGGTGGATACAGGAGTGGGGACATCATTTGAATGGAGTCTGGGATAAGATTACTCACCTGGACCCCCTTCTCTGTACTTCGACCCAGGTCTCACATTTACAGGTGCAGTCCCCAGGTCTACATGGATGGCTTCCCACTTCCTCACCAGCCCTGACAGCCTCAGTGTCCTGGCCGCGAGCGCGATGGCATTGCCTTACCACAGCCCTGATGGCTGTTGTCACTTAGGTCAAGGGCATCGCACTTGCTGTTTGTGTCAGTCAGGCCTTTCATCCTGTCAACTCTGGTTTGGAAATCTCTCTCCATCTGCTCTCATCTGTTCCCACTGCTACCAAGCAGGTCATCAGCACCTTTCACCTGGACAATGGCGGACAGCCTCCTGGCTGGGCTCCCAGCCTCTGGTCACCATGCTTTGCTGTCTTCTGAGTAACCTCCCTAATGTGTCACTGCGGTTACATCATTCTTGGCTCCAAAAGTCTTTTGTTGTTTTCAGTTGTACACAGAATAAAGTTCACATTCCTTTGCAGTATTTGAGGTTATGTGTGACATGTGCCCTATCTTCTTTTCCAGCTTCAACTCCTTCCACTTCTCTACAGTGGTTTACAGGTTAAAAATTTATTCTACCTGGGTGTGGTGGCCTGAGGCAAAAGGATCCCACAAGTTCCAGGCCAGCCTGGACTACTTAGTGAGATACTGTCTCAAAAAAAAAAAAAGGGAGGAGAGTGAGGGAGACAGTTCAGGTGCATAAGTGGCTGAGTACAAGGTCCCAAGTTTGATCCCAGTTTGATCCCTGGCATGAAAAAAAAAAAATCTAGAGTAAGAGAGAAGCAGGCAGAAATCTCATCTCTGCCACTTCCAAGTACGTATGTAACCTTGGTCACATCTCTCGATGATTCTAGACCTTTTTTTTTTTTTTAATGTATTTGGTTGTTGCAGGGTATCACTAGCATCTGGGATTCATGGTAATCCTCCTTTCAGCCTTCCCAGTGCTGGGATTACACGAGTGCGCCACTATGTGGACTATATGCCAGCTGGACTCTGAGATAGCTCTGCCTGCTCTGGGAGTGGGGTTGACAGGCATGTGGTACTGGGGATTGAACTATGGTCCTTGCGCTTGCTTAAGCTTGCCTAAGCAAGTGCTTTAGTTCACTGAGCTATCTCGTTGGCCTTTGTGTGTGTGTGGTACCAGGGATTGAACTCGGGACCTTGCACTTGCTAGGCAGGCGCTTAAGCTGCTGAGTTATATCCCTGGCCTCAGTTAATTGTCATTTATAATGAAAACACCAATTTCATAGAAATAGGATTTTTTTTTTGGTACCAGGAATTAAGCTCACAACCTTGCACTTGCTAGGCAGTCCCTGTGCTGCTGAGCTATATCCCAGGCCTACGTTTTGACTTTTTTTTTTTAAACTGGTTTTTGCTATGCAGTTCAGGCTGGAAGCCCTGGTGCTGGGATTACAGGCCATTATGCCTGGATTGTGTTTTTAATTATTTATTTATTTGTGTGTGTGTGTGTGTGTGTGTGTGTGTGGCCAGCTCAGCCCACCAGGGGGCGGGGCTGGCTGGCATGTGGTGCTGGGGGATTGAACTGTGGTCCCTGTGCTTTGCTAAGCTTGTTCTAAGTAGGTGCTTTAGACCACTGAACCATCTCACCAGCCCCCATGGTTTTTTTTTTTTTAAGATTTTTCTTTTCTTTTTTTTTTTTCTTGGTGGAACTGGGGATTGAACTTAGGCCCCTGCGCTTGCCAGGGAAGCTCTTATTCCACTGAGCCATCTCCCCAGCCCCTGTGTTGTTTTTTGAGACATCATATAGTTCAGGCTGTTCTTGAACTCACTATGTAGCCCAGGTTGGCCTCAAACTCACAGTATCCTCCTACCTCAGCCTCCCAAGTGCTGGAATTATAAAAAATCCCATCTGTGATGTAATGTAATAAGCACACTGCCTGGTTTTGGCCGGCACTGAAAAAGTAGGGGTCAGTATGACTCACAAACCTGATGCCTACTATGTTTTCTAGCAACACCCGATCATTAAAAAGGATACTTGCCTTCTAGCTCACTTATCCACTCCACTGAATTCCTTGAATCATTTCCAAGTAGGCTGGAGATATATTTTTTTCTTTTTTTTTTTTTGCGGAACCGGGGATTGAACTCATGCCCTTACGCTTGCCAGGGAAGCACTTATTCCACTGAGCCATCCCCCCAGCAACCCCCCTCTTTTTTTTTTGAGATGGTGTCTCCCTATACTGCTCAGCTCAGCCTTAAAAAATCACCATTCTCTTGGTTGGTGCAGGGCACCACTACCAGCTCTGGATAGAATTCTTTAGTATCTGTAACTCTTCTACACACAGGGCATCCAGTTAGTGCTAATGTAATCCTCCTCCACCTCTACTATATTGCTGGCCAAACTGTAAGGACTTTTCTACAAGTTTTCCAACAGAGTAATCAAAAGAATAGACTCTTGGGGCCGGGGAGATGGCTTAGTAGAATAAGCGCTTGCCTGGCAAGCGCAAGGGCCTGCGTTCAATGCCCGGTTCCGCAAAAACAAACAAAACAATGGACTCTTTCTAGGACCCGACTGCAACAGGCAAGGGACTCCCACCCTCCTTTGTAGCAAGCCCCTAAAGTCAAGAGAACGCAGAGCCCTCCCCCACGTGTCCAACACACCTTGAGAATCTCATCTCCAACAATGATGATGCCCGCTGTCACGATGCGCCCCTGGGGAAGTTCCGAGGTCCCAGATGCCATGGTCCTGCCTTTGCCCCTCTGCAAAGACCTCCGGTAGCCACCCAGACCCCTAGACAGGGGCCGCAAGCCCAGGAGCCCCGCCAGGTCTACTGGGCATTGAGGGCCATAGCCTGGGAACAGGGTCGAGGGGACCTGGAGAAACCAGAAAGGACAATGGAGGAGGGCACGTTCCTCCTTGCAGGAAGACTTCATCTTTTCTAAACAGGGTGGACAAGGGACTCCTTTACTACTGTCTCTTTAATACATGTTTTCTCAAATCCCTTTGCTTTTTTTTTTTTTTTTTTTCCTCCCGCGGTGCTAGGGAACCACGCCACCGCCTCACACATGCAAGATAAGCGTTGTACCACTGAGCTACACCCCAGCCCCTATGTCTTCTAAGCCTGGTTCTAGTCTTCTTAAATATCCTGCTCTCCCGAGAACCTACCACTTTAAATGTCTTCTATCTGCCAATCCGATCTCCTCAAGAAAGTGCTCCACCTTGGGCATTTGCACCTTTAAATGTCTCTTCGGAACGTGTCCCTTTAAATGCCCACCTGATCCCGGCGCTTGGCCCCTTTAAGCGCGCCCCGCCCTCCCTGTCTGGCCAGAGCCCTGTCGCCTTCTCCTGCACCCTTTCTACCCCGGAGCCCATTCTACCAAGCTTCACAGTACTGAGCTCTTCCAAGCTCTCACCTGCCTAATTTGTCCCTTCACCGGCTCTTTCCTTTCCTCGCGTCCCGGGACAGCTTCCGTATTCAAAGTCCCGCCTTACTTGTACCACCCTCGTATTGATTGATTAACTTTGCTGTCGCTTAGACTCTTCTCGAAGGTTCTATTGGCGTAGCTAACTGTCGCTCTCCGGCTTTGTCCTCCAGGCCAGAGAAATACTATGTTGTTATAGGCAACAACCACGTGGTTAGCCCTCACCCGGAAGTGCGGGGCGGGCTCTGTACTTGGGGGTGGGACACAGGAGGTTTAGGGCAGGAAGGCGCTGTCGGTGGGAGGTGCTCTAAGGTGTTTCGGTTGCTACCTTCTGTTCTTAAATTCTTGTATGCCTATGTTGTTGTTGTTGTCTTTTTTTTTTTTTTTTTGGTCGGAACCGGGAATTGAACTCTGGTACTTGTGCTTGCCGAGGCTAGTGCTTATTGTACTGAGCCATCTCCCCGGACCCGTTTTTAGTCTTTTTAAGACAAAGTCTCGCTATGTAGTTCAGGCTGCCGTGAGTGCACTTTGTTGCCCTGGCTGGTCTCCTACTCTGAGACGACTCTCCTGTCTCAACCTCGGTAGTGCTGGGATTACAGGCGTGTGTACACGCCCAGCTTTGTTGTTTGTATTAACTATTTGAGTTGGGATCAACTCTTGCGCTTGCCTAGCAGGCGCTTACGCCCCTGAGCTATCGCTCTGGCCCACTATGATAAATTTTAAGGAGCCAGGGGCAGGTACTGGCGCCAGAGGAATTTAATTAATTTCTTTCTCTTTTTTTTTTTTTTT